TAATCTGAAGAATCTAAAATTTCTGAAAATTCTGAAAAATCTGGAAAAGTCACCAAGCGCATACCACCCATACAAGCCTACCCTATACCATGCAACACACCACCCATAAAACCAACCCAACAACTCATTTCAACAATCCACTCGATTCATCAAACCCCAATTTCACCGCCTTCCACTATCAAAAAAAAAGGACCAATCGAACCACCACCACCACCTCCATCACCACCTTATCAACACCTGCACCTACCCCAGATTCCACCCATCGTCCCCCCATCGTCACCCATCGTCATGTCTGTAAACACCCTGTTCCTCGACAACGTCACAGAACCACACAACTTCAACAACAACGCGCCGTTCGACCTCCTCGTCAGCGACCTCTTCCTCAAACTCGAATCCACAAACCTGGAAAACAAAGCACCCTACGACACAGTCAGCGCCAAAAAGACGCTGATCATCGAGGACTTTGTGAAAACATGGCGGACCCACTTCGGCGCCAACATCTACCCGGCCGTCCGGCTCATCTTCCCCAATAGAGACGGCCGCAAGTACCATGTCAAGGACGTGGCGTTGACGAGACTCGTGAACAAGTTGCTCAAGTTGCAGCCTGGCCTGAGCGACTACCAGACGATCAAAAACTGGAAGAAGCAGTTTCAGCTGAAGGTGAGTTTGGCAGGAAGCAGCGAGCGAGGCCAATTGGGCGATTTGCCGTTGATAATCGCTCGGATCATGCTGCGGAGGAGAGACCAGAATGTGGTGGTGAAAAGTACGCTAAATGTGGACCAGGTGAACGCAGCGTTGGACCAATTGGCAAGCAAAACACGGTCCGAGGACCAGTTGGCGGTGCTCGAGCCGTTGGTGGAGAAATTGACTATCCCCGAGATCCGCTGTGTGTTCCAGATGATCTTGAAGGAGCTGATGCTTCTGTTTTTTGAGAGGGCGTTTTTCCAGGCGTGGCACCCGGACGCCTACAATTTGTTCAAGGTTTGCGAGGACATGAAGAAGATTTTCTGGGTGCTCCATGACCCGGACGTCCGCTTGAAACCCACCCAGTTGTGTGTCCAGCCGTTGTACATGTTTGTGCCCCAGAGCTCCCACAAATTGGACATTTCCTACGACACCTTGTGCAAGCGGATGACCGTGGGGTTGCAGCGGGAAAATAAGGATCCCAAGTTGGTGCAGCTCTACAACCAGGAGAACGTCGAGGGCCACTTTCTCATCGAGGAGAAGATCGACGGTGACAGGATGCTAATGCACATGGTGGACGGGAAGTTCCGCTGGCACACAAGGCGAAGAAGAGACTATACGTTGGTTTACGGCGAAAATGTGCACATTGGCTCGTTGACGAAGCACTTGACGGACGCTTTTGACGAGAAAGTGCAGAGTATAGTGCTCGACGGAGAAATGGTTGCATGGAGCAAAGACAGGGAGATGATTTTGCCGTTTGGCACGCTCCGGTCTGCCGCTATCCAGGAAGCCCTCAAGCAGTTTGACGTGATTGACGTCTACGAGGGAAACAACAGCTGGCCGTTTTTCCTCATTTTCGACATTCTCCATCTCAACGGAAGGGACCTCCTGGGGCTCCCGCTTTTTTACCGGAAAAACTTGATCAACAAGGTCGTCAAGGAGGTGCCCCACCGGCTCGAGATTCTCGAGTGGGTCAAGGCCAAATCGCCCACAGATATCAAGGCAAATATGCAGCGGATCGTCACCGAGCGAAACGAGGGCATCATGGTGAAATCTTTGCTTTCCAAGTACAGGGTGTACAGCCGGGAGCTGACGTGGATCAAGGTGAAGCCGGAGTATTTGGAGAATTTCGGCGAAAACCTCGATTTGGTGGTTATAGGCAAAATCGGGAGGGTCAAGACATCCTATATTTGCGGACTCAAGGATATCGAGGAGGACGGCTGCTACAAGCTGTTTTGCATGGTGGCCAACGGGTTTCTGAACGCTGTTTACCGGCAGATCGAGAGCAAATTGGTGAATTTCTGGAAAGACTATAATGTGCAAAAACCGCCGTCCTCACTTATCCAGTTTGGCACGAAAAAGCCAGACTACTGGATCGACCCGGCCAACCTGATTGTGCTAGAAATCAAGGCACGGTCGATTGAAGTGACTGCCGAAACGCCGTATGCCGCTGGATCCACCCTCCACAATCTATGGTGCAGAGCTGTGAGGGAGGATAAGGACTATGACGAGTGTATCACGCTCCAGGACTACCAGGAGCTCAAGGCGAAGTACTCACTGGATATTTATAAAAACCAGGACGTCAATCGAAACCGCAAACTGCCTGGCGAAAACCTGATTGTGGAAAAGTACGAAAAAGTGAAAAAGCTCAAAATCGCTGCTGAGCTGACGGTTTTCCAAAACCTCCATTTGGTGATCGCCACAGACTACAGGGGCCCCGAAGAGCTGCAGAGCATGAGTGCCGAGGCGTTGAAACAGCTTGTTCGGCTGCACGGAGGCCGTTTGGAGCTCAATCCCAAAAAAGACGAACTCTACGGCAAAAGCGTCGTGGTGATTGGCCTGAACCTCACGCCACGGCTCCAGCGGTGGCTTAAAGAAGGCTTCGACATCATTTCGCCAGCCTGGGTGGTCGAGTCCATCCGTGTCAAGCGGCTTTTGCCGATAGAACCGGGATTTATCGTCGGGAGTGAAAATCCAAAGCTCTTCGAACGATCAGCACACAATGTGGACCAGTTTGGCGACAGCTTCTTGGTGAGCGGGTGCTCCCCAAAAGGGCTTCTCCAGCACCTTGCCGATCTCGACGTTCCGAGGAAGCTTGAGCCCGAGAGTTTCTCCAAATGCCGGCAGATCTTCCAGGCTGGTGAAGGACCACGGTGGTATGGCCTTTTCGGCGGACTACGTTTTTTTCTCTTGAACATGCCCGCCAGCCTTGAACGCAGAATTACCCGTTTCGGCGGTATTTGCGTTGACGACTGGCAAAAGTGCCACTACATTGTGTGCGATGAAGCACAGAAGGTCGAAATCAAGAGGATCAGCACGGCTATGGGCCGGGTATACGAGGAGGGACAAAAGCTTGCATTGTTCGTCCAGGCAGGCTTTGTTACCGCCAGCATTGCCGCTGGAGTTATCGTTGATGACGCTGTCTACAGGGTTTAGCGAAGATCCAACGGCGATCTCTACATGGTGAAGATCCAGGGTCCGTTCGGGTTTGGCAAATAAACTTTGGAAAGCTTAATTGGCATGCTGCGCCCAGAGGCGGACCGACAATGGCCATACCGCCCGGGGTGCCACGATTAAGGTGTTAGTATGACAATGTGGAGGTCCCTCTTGTGGAGGTGGGAGGGAGAAAGTGGTGATGATATTGTCCGGCAGCGAAGCCCGGGCACGCCTATTATAGTTCAGGCTTTGGCACAAGCCACGCTGCACGGGAACACGGTCAAGAAAAGAGGTGGAAGTGTTCAGCCAAGGGCCAAGGTCAAGCCAAGGTTTGAGAAAAGGTGGATTGTGGATGTGTATTGTGGATGGACTGAGGCGGTGACATACATCGAGGTTGCGATAAGGGATGTTTGGAGCTGGGTTTTGGATAAGTCCGATAGACAATGCGTTGGATCGATAAGATCTGAGTCGGGAATGTTGAATTGGGGTTGGTCACTGGAATGGCTGCAAATGACGCTGGAACCCAGTTTCGATAAGTCCCAAACACTAATCGCCAAATGTGGCGAATTAGGTTCCTAAGCCCAAAGAAGGCACTGTCAAGGCTGCCCCTCCTCTGACTCACTATGTGACCACGGGTCAGTGACCCTTTTAGGAGACGGGTTTATCACACTTTTAGGTGTTCACGCATGTTCCCCAGCTTCCATACAGCCTCCGCGTGCCTGTCTGCAGGACGCTGACCGCAGTGGAAGGTTGGTCACGTGCGGCTCCAATTACGGTGCCTCAAAATGCAACCTTGAAGGCACTTAGTGTGCTGTGAATGACTGCCGAGGCTCGAGATTGGGGGAATAAGGTTGGTATGCCATGCACGTGACGCCTATTTTCCAAGGTAGCCGGTGACATCACACCCCTCAGCGGGCCGATAAGACGTGGCCGTAGGTTTCAAGGCGGGGGTTCTCCGCACGGTGGGGCTCTTACGCGTGAGGCGAAGAGAGAAAGAGCATTTGAATTAGTTTGGGAAGTTGATGGTGTGGAAAGGTTTTTTTTGATTAGTAAGGGGCTGTTTCAGATGGATCTTGGTTGCTGCTGATGTCAGAAAGCATGGTCTGGAGATGTTCCATGGAATGTCGCGGCACCGGCAGGTTCGGAAAAACTCTTGGTGGGAGGCAGCGCGACATTTGCCCAGCTTCCTCCGCAGCCTGTTTTTCCAGACAGCAGGAGACTGCGAGCGACTCTCACCCGACGGTGAGAGAGACGCCGCCATGCACGGACTGCACGCAGTGCTCCGCGGCAGCGCATGGTGCACATTGACGGTCCACCGGCAGGCTCACCGCTGTTGCACTAAACAACGCCAACTCCGCGGGAAGCGCTAGTGGCGAGACGAACACCCGTACACCAGCCACTAACGGGCCAGATTTAGTAATTTGCCCGTACCCCATGAATCAATGCTACGATATAAAGGTGGATTTTGCGCCCACGGATCAAAGGACAAATTGGCCACTCGCAATTGCAATAATGAGATTGGCCCGTTGCTCCGCAACGTGAAAGCGTCCAAAACCCGAGGTACATATCTCATGCAGTGGGCCTCCTCCCATACCCCGGGTTGCATGGGTTGCATTTCCACTCTGCTGCGACGCAACCTCTCTGGGGCATGCAGGACCGGCGCTGCAATCCGCCGCAGCAGCTTCAATGCATGCCTCTTGCAGCTGTGAAATTCGCTGCCTGGAAACTGGGCACATGTATAAATGCAACCGGCTTTCCACATTCCCACTGCCATCTAAAAACTACCTTTACCACAAAAACACCAAAACTTCATATCTTTGCATCCATGGACGACTGCTTCCTCCGCCCAGCCCCCCCGGCTGACCGAAAACATTGATTACATGTCCAAACGACCCATTCCGGAGCAGCACCTCTACACTTGCTGGAGGCAAAACAACTCCATCGCTGTGAAAACAGCCCTCGACGACATCCTGTTGGCCATTCCTTCCTCCAACTCCAAAAGACTAGAAAACATCACCTGGCGCCGCTGGTACAAGGACCTCTGTGGTCTAGACGAAGTGGCACCGGCCGAAATCAACTGGGACAAGTCCCACGACATCACATGGCTCTATGGGCCCAAGTACATCCTCGAGGTGGAGCCGGAGCCCCAGGCTTCCTTGACTCCTCACTTGAGCAAACTTGACTTCTCCATGGACAGCGACGCTGAGCTGGTTTCCTCTGTGCAGCTGGGAGCCAGTCTGATGAATTTCGACGACGAGTCACTGGTGGCTTCGTCTGTTTCTGAGCAGGATAATGTTGACGATGACGACGACGACGAGTGCCATTTTGGCCTCAAGCCTGCGCTCAAGAGACGTCCCAGCGAGTTTGCACCCGTTGTCCCGGCCGGTTCCGGGACCAAGAAGGCGGTCAAGTTCAACTACATTGTCAACTCGCGGGAGTTTGTGAACGGGATTCTGTTTGACTACGATTTCTTGGACCCTCTGTGCTTGTGAGGTCTGGGGATAGCGTCAGAAGACATTATACAAAAGTAGAGCATACAGCATGCGCTGGGGGTTGATTCCTCGGCCAAAGCATCATTAATAATATATTGGGGACCCATCGTGGGTCATGGTCATGAAATCTGGTGTAGGCATGTGCATTTGACGTAGACTATAAGTACCTTGATGAAGAGAACTACTGAAGATGATGATGAGGTGATATTTCACGGTGTGCCCTGGGAGCCTGGGATAACCGGATTGCAGTGGAAAACCAAATCTATTTTAGAAATGACGATCCCTGGTTGCTCGTCATTCTCGTGTGCCTTTTACCCGGTAAGCTACACAATCTAGACCGAATCCAGAAGGAACCGAAAAACACCGAATTTCAAGCCAATCTCCAGCGTTTGCTTTCAATGTGGTCATCGTGGCATGTGAGTGTCCAGGGATCATAACTGGAATATAGGCACCGAAGCATTGGCAGGGACTATACGACGCTGTGCATCGAGGCCATGATGAAAGGAAATGAAAGAAAACGATGGAAATTTTAAGAAAGTGGATTTTTAAAATCAAACTCTGAATCGGCTTTCTTTCTATCCGTCAATATCGCCATTCTCGAATATAGCCAATCGGGTGGGTGTTACTTCTCTTTGGAGCCATTGGCTGTATCACCATGTCAGCAACAATAGGCTATCCCGGGATCCAAAGCCAATCGAAGCAGAATCACTCTATTTACGAAAACGCCGTATTTGCCGGTTCCACCTTAAATCCTCCATTCCTCAATTCATAGATCGCCCCAATTGCATTTCATATCGCCTCATTTGCACCCATCGTCAAACCCAATCGTACATTCCCACACGTAAAAGTCCCCAAACGTATGCTATGGACTCAATTCTCTTAATGTAGATCTCCGTAACTGTACCCCCACAACGCATAAATCTGACGTGTCCGACTTGGCTGGATATTAGGTGCATCGTACGACGTTTGTCTTGGAGCCAAGACGTACGGTTTACATATACGGGTGCACTACAAGAGGCGGGAGGAGAAGAAAAGGGCGAGGAAAGAGGTGGAAAAATCGAGGGGCAATTGTAGAGTAAGGCACGGCGCCGATTGTGAAGAAATGGCGTTGGTGGAAAGGAGACGGTGTTGATGGAGGGGTGTTGATGGAGGGGAGAAGCTCGAGGACGTGTTTCGGGGAGAAGGCGGCTGGATTTCGGTGGAATAGGAAGGTGAAAAATTGGAGAGTCATTTGGAGGGGTTGTTAGGGTTTTTTGACGTTTGGGGGATGTGTGGGCTGGTTATTGGTTGGATAAGAGGGATGGTGGTTTGATGAGTGTGGTGGGTTTTAGGGATAGACGAAAACACCAAAAACGGCTCATATGCTTGAAGTAGAGGAATTGAGCTAGATTGAGAGCTCTGGGAGGCTATAGCTGCTTGTGGCGTGGAAAATGGCCCATACGGTGTTTCAGAGTTTTTCAGAAACCAAATAAAAAAGAAAAATAAAAGAAAAATCGAACCACACCACCCCCAGGGTCAATTCGCCATTCCAGAGCATTCCACAACAATTCCAATCCACCATCCATCACATCCAGCCCATTCAACACCCCATCCATATCCACCAGAACGTGGGAACCTGAATCTACCCTAGTGGCTCCATTCCGAGCCACAATACCATAACCCATTAAACCCCCTTCATCCAGTCAAAAAATCTAGTCCCCTAGATTCCAATCCCTAAATTCCAATCCCTTCTAGGCCCCCCTGAACGCTACCATTTCCCTAATCAAGCGTGTTTTTCATTTTCCCTCTTTCATCGTGCCACCCCGTGGACGCCCGGGTCGGTGGTTTTTGCAACCACACGGTCTGGATCCCGAAGCACCCGCGGGACACGATGCGGCGTCTAAATACACATAGACCGGCTGGTGCCATTGTGCCCGTGCCACGGCTCCCGCCCAGGGCCTTGTTCTTTTTTGTGGTAGTTCGTTTGTTATAGCCGCCCTTGCGGATACCGGTGTTCCCCGGGGGGTGGGTAGGGCGAGGCTGGTGTCTGTGTGCAGGCTATCTTTAACCCACTTTTCACATGGCGCGCCGATACCAGCGATAGCATGTGTTTTGTCGATCGGAGGATGAAGTATTTTTTGATATACATGGAGCGCAATGTGGGAGGGTGATCTTATTCCGGGGTAATGCGGTGGCATGTGGTGGGAGCGTGGGGGATGCTGACGATTGGGGGATTGAAATTGCTTGGGGGATCATGGGTAAATGGAGTGTGGGGGATGAGGCTGGTACAATTGGCTGCAAATTGGTGGTACATGAGACTTTCGGCTTTGGTAGGAAGGAGGGCTAGGTTGTTGATGTGGAAGGGGTGGTTTTGTTAGTCAAGGGCGAGTGGAATTTGTAGGTATCATTGGATGGGATGGAGATCAGTATGTGGAGTGGTGGAGACAAGGTGAATGGCAGTAGATGGGTAGGAGGAGCTGGAGTGCAATAAGCTTGATGGGCTGATGATGATAAAAATGCCACTGAATGAAGATTTCCAGAGAATGAAGCAATGTAGAATGAGTCGTGAGCAGGAAATTCTGGATCAGTGCCAGGAAGTACCATCAGTTCACTAAGAGATCGGTGGACTGAATGACCCCGATACTGAGTGATTTGAAGTAAAGAGGTTCAAATTGGAGAGTAGCCAACAAAATGACCGCATTGAGTCATCTAGAATGAAGCAAACGGTACATTGTTGAGTTGGACCAAGTACCATTGAATGCTCAATTCTCTGAGGGCAGTAGGTTCACTAGCCACAAGTACATGCCATCGACACAGTCGTCAGGACACTCTTCAAACATATCAGTAGATGGGCCCCCCAATTGACCCTTCCAATTGACCCTAGACCCCGGTCGTCAACACATCTTCTCAATTGACAACCAGGACTAGGAAGGCTACCCCAAATTACTACATGGCAGGACTACGCAACCGCTGCAAAAGACCACCTCCAACCTGCCACCAGCCACCTCTTGCCGGTCTTATTCCATCTCCGCCCGCCCAGCAATACTACCATAAAGAAACAACCACCCACCAGGTCCCACATCCACGCAAAGCCATTTCGAAACTTCCCCGACACCAATATTCTTCTCTTATGCCGCCGCCAGCAAGCCCCCCTGAGCGGTCAGAACACCTCTTTGCAACCAAAAGTATCGTGCGTCAGCGGGCCGTGTAACACTTGACTCCGCTTGGTTTTCTTTTTCAGCAAGCGGGCCGGAGTCACACGGCGAATGACTCCTCAAAAAGAAAACCCATACAAGACACACGGCCCGCCGAGACGTGTTGCTTTGCGGAGTTATGGGGTTGGGGTACCTTAATCGTCTAGTAGGATCAAGGGAATCGGATGGATGGGTGCTGGGGTCAGATGGGGGGAGCGCCCAATACGGAGATATCTCCTTATGGGGTCACGTGCTGCACAGATCCATCAAAATAAGGTTTTAGCTGACAATGACGGTCTCCCTCTTGCACGGGCTAATTCCGAATGGCACAGTGGGTCTTCACTATGGGGAGTGAACAGCATGCTGGACCTTCGCTTCGGTGGAGGCGCCGCACGCGCTGCAGACGTCAGTATAGGGCTTTTGGCGCTGTGTGCAGTAGCACCGGACCATGCTTTCCTGATTAGGCGCGCTCCGCATAATCACACTTCCCGAAACATCCTCGGGTCCGGGAACGTCCGGAGCCAATAACGAGCCAGTCAATGGTTATGATGTCCAGGGTCTGACTCGGCGATAGGGCGTAAGGTTTGGAAGTCAATTTGAAGATTGGAAGCTTCTAGATTAAAACTTTAAAGCTTTTCATGGAACCGCATTGGACCAAAGCATTGATTGTAACATCACCACAGTAGCATAAACCCACCCCTTCAGGCCCTTCTGTACCACTCCAGGTCGAAGTCAAAGGAGGGGAAGAGCCAGTGCTCATTTGCAGCCACTGGCGGCAAACCCCAAAAGCAGAACCGCAATGGTCCACAAAAGGTCCCCTACTCTCCAGCCAGAACCCTGTCCAGATTACTCATACAACAGGGAGACGCTGAAGCCAGACAGCTGTGCGGCCACTTCACGACATAAGCGATTTCGCATCTGTGAAGCGGCAATTGGACTGATGTATGGTTAGTTTGTAATTGGCTGGTTTTGTGGAATCTCAGGATGCTGGAGGGGGAAACTGCTTTGTGTAGACTTGGGCGACTCTTTTGATGAAGTCATTATTCATACTTTGAAGCTTTAGCTTTTGCCGCTGAGCGGTGTATTTTTCCGGACTCTCGATGCGTGGAAGGCGGTCGACTTCGACCCGTAGCAAGGCACCATTTCAGCTGAAAGGGTTGAAAGCAAGGTTGAATTGTAGGGTGACGGTGACGTCGACTTGGAGAACAGCCGTACAGGGTGCAATCTGGGGATCAAGTGTTGGGGTGATACTGGTGAATAGTATTTTTTGATGAGCCGAAAAAATCAACATCACCTCAATTGAACCGGCTCCAGAGGCATCTGTATTCTCTTCAATTGATTCACCGTCTCTCTTCTCCTCTCGCTCACTAACCTTTGGCTTTAACTTCCCACTCCTGCAGCCCAATGGGTGCAAATGGATCGTATCGCCAGAGCAACATCGAAATCTCGTGGAACTTCCAATCTCTTCTCCGAGACCCTGGCGACCTTGCTTCCTCACTGTGGCGGCTAAAAGGTCCACGCGATCTAGAGCAACCCCTGGCAGAGCAACCAAAATAGACTAAGCTCGGCTGCAAAATGGGCAAACAGGTCTGCCTGTCAGTATTGAAATTTGAGCTAATTTTGAATTCTGCAAAAGGGAGGGAAAAGGGGACTGGCCGAATTCCAGAATCCCAGCAAGCCAATTAGTCGAATTTCCATGTCACCTGGACCGCTCTCTTTTTACCAGTTGCGCAGCCAAATAGTCATCGTGCGATGCGATACTGCTAGAAGTGAAGTTTCCACAAAACCTAGACGAAACTTAGCGTCATCTGTATTGCTGGTGCCTTGTACCTGTGAGGTTTTCCACATCAACTGTCTAAGGCATGCGCCCCGGCAATTCCAGCATGTTCTGCTCGTGGTCGTAATTTCAGTCCATCGTGTAACTTTATTTTGCAATCTGAAATTGCACCATATTCCATTGATCCAAAGCCGCCGTTAAGCGCAATCTAAGGCCATTTCGTGGCACGGCTGTGAAAATTTTATTGCTCTCTCAGCCTCTAACACCGAGCGAATTTCACCCAAAACCCGGGGTACATGTTTCTGGAATTCGTCCCCCACGCTGGACGCTGAAACTCACGTCCCCGGATTTTTCCGCGGGGGCACTAGCCACTGAATATATCCGGAGGCTTAATGTTTCTATTCTCGGAAGGCGAAAATCGCCAGGCCCGAATCAACAAGCGCTTTCCACCGATCCGAATCTTCAACAACAATATATTCGCAAATCCGGATTCTCCCCTGAAAAAGGTACCTCGAACAGCGGGATTGTCGAGAGGGCCTGGGCCCGGGGAGGTTGACAAAGCTGTCTGCAGGACAGAAGCGCTCATTGTATAGTGGATTTAGGCTTCACTCGCGGCTGCGCCGCATTTGTGTGCGGCAACAAAACGCCGCATCCAGTGGGGTGTATGCAGGTGTTTAAACATCTCACCTTGAACCCTCTCGGGGATAAGGACTATGTTTGTTGATGAATCACAGGAATAAAAAAATAAATGAAGCTTCCCATAAAATATCCTTTAAGCGAAGTACCTCAACAGCAAAACCCCCAAACTCAGCCTCGGAAAACGCAACTGTTCTGGCTCGGCTTCCGCTAACAATAAACTAGCCTCGACAAGACATTGGCACCCAGCACTTGGCAGCTCCTTGGTGTCGGGGAAGCTTATCAAGAATAAGGATGCCGAGCTCTCCAGCATTGTAGTGGATGGAGACGGTCAAATGCACCTGGCTGACAAGAACTAGTACCAATTTGGAAGGTCAAACAAGCGGTAGCACAAAAGCGGACATGTTCACGAACAGGGATCGTCTGACGCTGATAAGGAATGTGGGATTTCCGAACCTTCCAGGACGATCCCAGACGATCTTTCTTCCCGCCTTGTTTCTATATTTGCCACTGATGTGAGTGATCCACCTCTTGCTTCCCTTCGTGTTTTCAGATGGCTGCAAATGGGTTCCTTCATATGTTCGCATGCTGAATCGCTTATTCGGCCTCAAAGTCCATCAAGCGCCTGCCCGCCTCAAAGCGGTTTCAACGGTGCCGGCTGAGCCGATTTGTAGAGAGGCTTTGAAAAAAAGTCCATAAATCACGCCCACTGTTGCGCTTAATAGCATTTGTCATGATACTTGCACACGATGGATCGGAGCCAGCTATTTTTGAAAAATTCCCAAAAAAAAGTGCACGTATAGTGACTTAACACCATCTGCGTCGAAGTATAACCTTATTTTGACGAAGGGGTAATTGCTGGCCAGGACACTGCCATTATGACTAAAACTCGTTCTCTACCCCACATTCTGGGTCTATTTCAAAACATGTCAAGCAGGCGCAGAGAATCATTTTTTTGCTTGAGCACGGGCAAATCCTCAGCACTGAAATTTACCCCGTAGGCGTATACGTGTGAATGCACAGCGGATCGGGTGCCATGTATGGCGGTTGAAATAATGGTCCAGAAGTGGGACTAGAAGCTGGGGTAGACTAGTGGTGTACGGATGTTTCGGGGAGGTTTCCCCATCGGGGGAGAAATGTCGCACCCATTGCAGCGTCCCGGAAAAACTAAAATGAGCGCTCAGAACGGCAGGCCACACCGGGAAGCGAAAATTCCCCAACCTCAGCACCGACCTACCCAGATAATAATAACTAGGACAAGCCTCACGGAACCTTACCGTATCTGTTTTTTGGGTAGCCGAGCAGATCACCTCAAGCCATCAACGATTACCCCTCTGCTAAAAGAAAAAAAAAAAAGTAAAGCGGCAACCAGTCGGCCGTAATTTCTCCTCAAAACGGCAGACCGGTAAACACAACCTCAGCTTTACCGTTTTCTTCACCTTCAGCTTCTTCCTTTTCCTTCAAAATCTATTCCCTCAAAGGTACCGGCACCCTCGGCCTGTGAGGCGTTTTCTTGGTGAGCCGACGTTTTTTACCAGTATATGCGCCAACTCTGCTCGGCTGCGTGTGCACCGTAAATGCACCCTATTACATGGACGATGTTGCAAAAGGAGAAACACCCAGAAAGGACACGGAAAGCCAGCACAGAACAGGAAGAGCTTCAGTTGATAATGAAGAAATTGAAATCAAAAGACGAAGGGCGGAATTGATGGCCTTTTTCGACCGGTGCGGGCGGGTTACCCAATCGGGCGGCCTATTTTTGGCCCCCCTCCATCTCCGAGTTTTTTTTCGGAGTGTTTCCGAGAAACTGCAGAACAGACAGTTACGGAGGCTGTTTGTTTGCAGCCAAGGCAGGGGGATAATGGGACGATTTGGGGTAACGTAAGAAAGAAGGAAGAATCCCGAAAGCACGTTTGGAGAGGGGAAAGGGAATGTTGATTTGTGTGCTGTTTCGGGATCCAAGAGTTGTACCATTGGTTCGTAGTCCCACCATTTGATCCAATCGTAAGGCAGCCCAATCTGGGTATCCTTGAACCGCCATTGGATTATTTTACTTGCACGTTGTTGGGCACGGTGTTGGGTTCGTCTCCTTCGGATCAATTTCAAGTCCAGATCTTATTTCTCCGACGTGACCTGAAAATCCCTCCAATTCTTTGAAAAATAACTCGGAACAACCCTTATTGTTGTGAACCCTGCGTTGCATTTGCCTCGGGCCCGATATGTCCCCGCGAATCCTCTGTTACGTTGCCGCAGTAAAACTACGGTTTGGCAAATGAGCCCTGCTCAATGACACCCTTTGTTTTCAAACCAGGCGTAATTTTTCAAAAAAATATCCCGAGGATCTGAAATGGAACAGGTTGTGAGTTGTTCCGCTTTAGGCGCTGCGCTAATGGCTGCGTTGATTTTCGAAAATATCTCTCCTTTCGGAGCATCGCCGATCAGAATCGTCGATCCATCGCGTATATGTAGAAGCAGAGGAACTGGCTCATCGGTGGTTTTGACGATGTCAAAATGCGTCGAGTCCTTGATGCGTCGTGCTTTCAACGGGTAAACAACGTGGGGTTTTTTAATAGAAGGCCATGTTTGTCGTACGAGATGATAGACAGGCCACTGCGTTGGTAGTACAACCGGGACCCAAGGTGAAATTGGTCAGTCTACAATGACAGCGTCACGGAAATTTCCAAGAACAATTGCTGTCTGGGTTAGTATAGGTGAAACATACTCTTGTATTATGTGCTCCCATACGTAGTCGGAGCATCCCGATGGTGCCTTATCTGACGATGGGGAGATTAGCCCACTTTATCTGGGCTTCTATTCTTCTGCCTCCTGCTGCCAATCAGCCGCTGATCAGCCGTCTAAAGCTGCCTAGGAGGCGGGGCTCATTATGGGCAGTTGTGTGGGGTCCGTTCCCGGGTGATGTGTTGAATTGTGGCACACGGCAGATGCTTCTTTGGCGAGGGTTCTTAGGGCATAACAGCGCTCCGTTATTTGCGTAATTCGACCGCATTGGCTGTTCAATGGGATGGTAGTGTTTGTAGCACAATGGGTGGTAAGGCTGTTTGGCGATATGGTTCACCTCCAATGCAATGGAGCTCAAAGCGCCAGTTTTAAGCATTGTAATAAGTGTTTTTCTAGAACCTGAGGCTTCTAATGCATCTGTAACCGTATCCTCCCTGGCCTTGATCTGTATCAAGCCCTCATTCAAGTTTAGCAGCCAAATAACCGCCTCCATCAAAAAAACAATTCAAAAGCCGCTTTTAAACCATGTAACACCGTCAATCCAGGGTTGAGTGAGTCTTCAGACCCCACTCCCCACTTTCAACCTCTCTTAGCACCTCAGATCAGTACGGCCCACGCGTCGATTCACACATTTCACAGCATTCACATCACCATCACGATCACCACCAAACAAAAGCCCAACGCGTCTCCAGCGCCACAAAACCAGCCAATTCATCAAATCTTAAATAATTGAGGGATCACTCCCTCCTGGCCTTCTCTGCCTCATTCTGCTTCTCCACAGCCTTTTCGAGACCCTTCCTGAAGTCTCTCACACTCTTCACATTATTAATCCCACTCATGTTATCCAAAACAAACTGCTCGTGCAATTTCGTCAAATCCGCAAGCGGCTGCTTCAACCTCCGTACCGCAGTGGCGAGTTCTCCATACACCTCGTCCTCCATGAGTAGTATCAAGTGTTGATGTTTCTGGCGCGCCTCTATCAACTACTATGGACTCACTAGACGATGATCTAGATGTGGGGATATTCCAGGTGGAGACGTCGTCGAAAAAGAAAGATGGTCCCTGTCACCATAAAATAGACGCTGTGGCCTTGGCTACCTATATATACCCGACAAACTTGCCGATTCGTGATTACCAGTACAACATTGTGTATCGGTCCTTCTTTCACAATATCGTGGTGGCGCTACCGACGGGTCTAGGAAAGACGTTTATTGCAAGCACGGTGATGTTGAATTTTCTACGGTGGTTTCCCGAGGCCAAGGTGATATTTATGGCTCCTACTAAACCTTTGGTGGCTCAGCAGATCAAGGCGTGTTGTGGAATCACGGGTATTCCGCCGGAGAAGGTGGCGATTTTGCTCGATAAGACGCGTCGCAACAGAGCCGCCATTTGGGAAGAGAAACAGGTGTTTTTCACGACTCCTCAGGTTGTGGAAAACGATCTAGCTACCGGGATAGTCGATCCGAAGTCCGTGGTGCTTTTGGTCATCGACGAGGCCCACAGAGCCAAGGGCAATTACGCATACAACAACGTGGTGAAGTTTCTAGATCGCTTCAATAAGGCGTACCGTGTTTTGGCCTTGACAGCCACGCCAGCATCTGACGTCGAAGGTGTCCAGGAGATCGTGGATAACCTCCTGGTTTCGAAAATCGAGGTCCGGACAGAAAAAAGCATCGACATTTACAAGTACCTCAAGCGGAAACTCATTGATCGGGTCACCGTCGGCCAGTCGGAAGAGATCCGCCATGCTGTGGATTTGCTTACGGAGGCAGTGAAGCCCATTCTCGAGCAGGCCAACCAGAGAAACATCTACGATGTGCGTGATCCCGCCTACATCAATGCCTTCACTGCCATGACCGCTCAGAAGAAGATTGTGATGAACCGCCTGATTCCGGAGGGCCTCAAATGGCTGAATTTCTTCATACTCCAGCTTCTAGCCGTCGTGGGGCAGGGGCTCCGGCGGTTGAACATTTATGGAATTCGGTCTTTTTACGCTTACTTCAAAGAGAAGTACACTGAGTTCACCACCAAGTTCAACAGCAAGAAGTCTAAGAACAACATGGCTGCAAAATTCTACTTCCACGAAAGCATCAAGAAGTTGGTGGACTTTTGTGAGAGAAGCGTGGCTGATAAGCAGTTTCTCGGGCATCCAAAGCTTGAAATCGTCATTTCTGAACTTGAGTCATTTTTTCAGAACACCTCGAATCAAGACTCTCGTGTGATTATCTTCACCGAGTTCAGAGAACTGGCCCTCGATATAGTCAGAGCTATCGAGCAGCGTGACTCCGCTTTGAAACCACATATCTTTATTGGTCAAGCCAAGGAGAGGGAAAAATTCGATGAGGAAAAGTTCGCCGCCAAAGGGAAAAAAGGCAAAAAGAAGGATGTTGAACCACAGCCGCCAAGCTCCTCAGAAAGACCGACCTCTTCAGAGGAAGCCCAGATGACTGGTATGAATCAGAAGGTCCAGAAAGAGCTTATTCGCAAATTCAAGGCCGGCGAATATAACATTCTTGTTGCCACTTCCATCGGTGAAGAGGGTCTTGATATTGGTGAGGTTGATCTAATTGTGTGCTACGATTCGACATCCTCGCCTATCAAAAATATCCAAAGGATGGGTAGAACAGGCAGAAACAGAGATGGTAAAGTGCTTCTTTTATTCGCTGGAAATGAGGAGACCAAGTTTGACAAGGCCATGGGCGGATACGAGTATATCCAGCAGCACATCATGAATGGAAACATGATCAACTTGCATGACCAACGACGCATCATACCTCACCGTTTTAATCCTGTCGTGAACGAGCAGTTCATCGAGATCCCAGACGAAAATGTCCAGATCAAGAATGAAGATGATGAGGATGAGATTATCAAGATTGCCATGAAGTACATGAGCGGCACTAAAAAAGGCAAGTCGAAAGCGAAGCCGAAGAAAATAGAGAAGCGCTTTTTCATGCCTGATGACGTCGAAACAGGCTTTCAATCCGTGAGCGACATGCTCAAGAATCCTGAGGGACCCTCCAAAAAGAGACAGAAAGTGGAGGAATCCGAGGATGAGCTTATCTCAGATGATATCCTTGCCAAGTCTAATGAGTCAAGCTTTCAGAAAGTCTCATCTTCACCCGTTGTGCCTCCTCCCTCCGTGAAGAAACTGAAGCAACCCACTCTAGAAACAGTTCCTGGGCTTCCCCCGAAGCAAGCCACCAAACTGCTAGGGACAAGCTTGGGAGTCAAGAAACGCCCTCCTAATGTCATCAACCAGTTGAAAGCTGCTCAAAGCCTGAAGTTACCGGAGTCCCCAGCTACCGGTAAAGAAAACACTCCAGTGGAAGCCCGTGTATCAGACGATGATTTCGACTTTGATGACGATGACGATGAAATTCTAGCACTTGCCGAACGCACCAGTTCCATGAACACGCAGCTAAAACCTTCTCAAGAGGCTTTATACCCCAACGACTTCCAGAATCAAGAAGGCATCCTTACATCCGAACAAAACTGTGACCTTTACATGTCGTACTACACACCTGTGAATGCCTCAGATCTTGACAACATTTACGATCCACAAGACTCCCCAGCTTGTGATAGCATACGGCACAGCACCACTACTACTAATTTATTGCATTCCAAAGCATTCATGTCCAAGCTTTCGGACAAAGAAAGCAAGACACTCATACATACCTATCAATCTGCATCATCAGTAAGTCACGAACTTCCAGATTTCGTTGACTTTGACTGATCCACCGTTCCACATACCAGTTGTAGCCATTTTGCAGCCATTATTGTGCATGCACGACCCGCAAAATATTACCCGGCCTAAGCGGCGCGAGTATATAAGCACCCAGGATCCTCCCACCGAGAAGTTCTTGTTCTTTATCTTTATGCAGGGGCATTACGTGTATCAGTGAGGATTCGTCCGAGATCATGTTTTTGCTGGTTGAAAACTATACCTGACAGCTCCCTGGTGGTCCTTCCTTGTGTCGTGACCGTCAGGGGAATTTTTGGAATGTTTTATCTCGGATGTCACCTCATCGAGGGCCACTCCCGCTTTTGTCTGTGTAATTGAGTCCAATTATTCAGGTAAAACGATCAACAACACACATTTAGGCCTACGAGGTCGAGTAGACGCCTTGTGCCTCGCTCGATGCAACGTTTTCAAAATTGCATCTTGAGCTGGATACCGAAGCAGGCTAGTTCTGCATCGCGTAAGGGGCCATAGCAAGCCCAGGGCTATCTTTGAGTGCGGTGACGTCGACAGAAGGTGGCGGCATTGTAATTATTGGCCCTGACAGTAGACTTTGAATGCCGTAGAGTAGGATCTTTTGAAATGTCCTGTATATACCGAGGTAGCGAAGAGCTCAAACCGATCGGAGACTGAAGAATCCTACCACCACCTACTTTAATGTTCAAGAAATTCGGCAAGGAGGAGGTCCATTCGCGTTCCAACATCAAGTCCTCTGTTCAAAGAGGACTCAAGTCCAATTTTGTTAACCACTTTGAGAAGGTCGAGCCGGTTATCGACGACATCATCCCCAAGAAGTCGCAAGTGATCTTGATCAAATGTGAACACAAGATCCAGTGTTACTCTGTTGACGACGAGATCGTCTTGTTCCAGCATTTCGACGATTTGGTCCCCCACTTGAAGGTGGTCCACAAATACCCTGAATTGTTCCCCAGAGTCCAGGTTGACAGAGGTGCTATTAAATTCGTCATGTCTGGTGCCAACGTCATGTGTCCAGGTTTGACTTCAGCCGGTGCCAAATTGCCCGAGGAGAATCTCGAAGAAGGCACTATCGTCACCATTTACGCCGAGGGTAAGGATTCTGCTTTGGCGATTGGAAAGTTGACCATGAGCACCGACGACATCAAGTCCAAGAACAAGGGCGTGGGTATTGAATTGTTGCATTATTTGGGAGACGGCTTGTGGCACTTTGACGCCAGCGTGTAAGCCAGGAGTTATAGAGGGAGTGGTTCGTAAAAAACGTGATGCTGGTTCTCTAGTCCAGCGCTGGCCAAAGTGGCCACATCGTCGTCCAAGTACGTCTTGGAACCGTGGAGGGCGTCGTTCGGATAATAGTAAAGACTGAACCGGTGTACGGGCACGCTAGTGTGTTTTGTAATGATACCTTTGAGGCGTAGAACTGAGTTGGACGGGAGAAAGGTTCTGGAAAAGAGTGTTCCTTGTGGTCCTTTGACAGTTATGACGTAGTGGCCCTTAGAGCCATGAGCTTGAGCTGCGTCGCTTTGGTGAATGTTGTACTTTTCTTGGAGTTCGGACATCCTGGTGCTCAGGACCACTGTGCCCTTTTGAATCAAAGACACTAGGTAGATCTCAGAGCTTCGGATTTCGTCGTCCAGCAAGGTGCTTCCATTGAGCTTTTTAATTCCCCTTCCTGCGGTCAGACATCGAAGTCTTCCGATGAGCTGGGTCGTCATTTCCTCTACCTCCATATTCTCAAACAAGGAGCACCCATCGATTCGGAGTTCCTCTAGCTCGGGAAAGACCGTTGATATCAGCTCCACCTGGGCCCAATCGCTGGTTTTGTTCTCTCGAAGGTCCAACACCTTTGTTGGTAGGGTCATTTGTGGAAGCGTCTCGATGGCATTATTGGCAAGAATGAGCTCTCTGCATGGTATGATAGGTATACCCTGGAGCCGATTGAAGGACAAGTCAAGCAGATCGACGTGTTGGAGGGCGGTTTCAGGAACAGAAGCTAAATCGTTGCCTGCAACGCACAACTTTCGTAGTTTCGGAAACAGCACAAGAAACTGGTCTAGCCTGGCCTCGTCCATTCCACACGAAGCTGCAGAAACAGTGTCCACAGCCAACCGTCCCTTTCCAAAAACTGTGAAAACGTTACCGTTGACGTTCAATGATTCAAGCAGTGGCATTTTCACCAAAATCTTCATCACCTCCTCCACATCCACCAACAAGTTGTAGCTCAAATCAAGATACTTCACCCCGCTGAGTTCGGGAAGATCACTCAAATCCCCGCAAAATGCCACGGCCTGTTTCTCAAGCGTAATTGACTCGAGCGTCTCGAGCTTTCCCCTTCTTTTATTGAGTTCCTCAAAACCTAACGACTCAACCGTCTTCAGGCCAAACACGATCTCCTGCCCTAACGCCGTCACGTTCTCCTCTCCACAGTACGTCTCCCAAAGAGCATCTACAAACGCCCTGCCCAAACGTAGTTTCTTATTGCTTGCCTTGACGAAAGACCCACTGAGAGGCACCTTGACTGAAAAGTAGAAAGTGTCTCCGACAGAGCCGCTGTTTTTCCCTCTTTGAGGATCGTCCCACTCAATTCCATACGCCAAAGTCGCTGGACCCCACTGGGGAAGGTGGCCAATCCATCGTATGGTTCCGTAGGCGCCATCCAACTCGATCCGATCTTGGATGTTCACCATGTCATGAGTAAGGATGGGATTGGGTTTTGGTGGTTATTGAAAGATGTGATTTGGTGAGGGTAAAGTGGTAGGATCTTGTTGTGGAATAGCGATCGGGCTGGTGTAGATCGGGTCTAGTGTGTTTGTTTAATGATTAGGATGAGTAGTAGAGACGCGAATTTAGTGATGAGATAAGGTGCCCTAGGTTCACCGTTTAGATTGACTTGAAAAAGCTTTCCAATAATATGTTCAAAACATTCATATTAAGCGTTTGGTTTTTCAATAATATGGCTCTATTACCTAGAAAATGTGAAATTGTGATGTTAGTGTGTTCTCATGAATATAGTGGTTCAATAAATGGCTGCGAAATCTGGGGTCAGTGAGTTTTTCAGCTACCACCCTAATCCGGGAATTCACACCAATAGCGTCAAACGGCAATTCACAGGAATAGCATTGAATTTATCTCTTTCTTTTAAAACAGTATCTCGATTACATCTGCCCACTTCCCAGGTAACTACAACTTACACCTCCTCGTTCATCCCATGTGGAAATGTAGCATTGTGGCAGTCCTAGCGACGCCATATCAGTATGTAAAGAATGCATTAGTATGTGACCGTCGAGCCAAAACCCTCAGTCAAAGCCAGCCGCCCTATCGCATCTGCCAGCCTCATCAATCATAGTTAACCTCATCGTACAATATCTCCAGCTTCCTCAGCTGTCAAGACCAAAGTTGTCTCCAAGCAAACCGTCAAGATCAAACTCCTTGGCCCACTCAGTAACAACAGTGGTCTGCTCAACCTTGGCAGGCTCTCTGTCGCCTCTAGCGGCACTCTTAGGTCCTTCACTCTCCTTGTGTGCTTTGGAGGCGTTAGGCAAAGTCCAGCCTGTGATTCTGCCGTCCCTCCAGTCATTCAAAACGTTAAGAGCCGCCGACTCAATGTGTGGAACACCGCCCTTGGTCAATCTTCCTCTGGCCCTGGCCACATGGATCAAGAACTGCTTGGTGAACTCCTTCAAGTCGCTCGATGGTAATGCTGGAATCTGGTAGTAGGCTTTGAGAGCGTCCGCCATGGCGTTGTCCTTCGACAAACGCTTGAGCAAAACCTCCACCACACCAGCAGGATCTCTGATGTTCTTCGGCGTCACGGCAGAAAGCAATGCAAGCTTGGCCTCCTGGGAAGCCTTTTTCAGCGAAACCTCGTCAGGGAACACAATACCGGGAGAGTCCAAAATCTTGAGTTTGTTGTCGATCTTCACCTCTCTCATGGTGGTGGTAACGCCAGGCATGTTGCCCACAGGACAGGCCTTCAGGTTTCCGTGTCTATTCGTCAATGCATTGATGATCGAGGACTTACCGACGTTGGGGTAGCCAATCACACCCACAACGATGGATCTCTTCAAGTTGGATTTCGTGGCGTAGCTCTTGAGGGCTTCCATGAGGTGCTTGGACGTCAATGCACTCGAGAGGTTCTTATTGTACATGTTGGCACCGGTGGCACCAGGGGAGGCCTTGACAGGCACGGTGGGGAAGAAGGTCTTCAAGAAGCTGACCCACTGGGACAAGACGTTGGTGGGCACAAGATCGACCTTGTTCAAAATGAAGATAAGACGTTTTCCTCCGCTCTGCAAAACGGCCTGCTCGACCTTCCTCAGCCTCGTGGCCTCGGGGTCTCTGGCGTCCAAAACGTAGAGAATAACATCGGAGGCCTCCACCACAGCCTTGAAGATCTTGTCGTAGGCCTTTCTGGACTTCTCGATATCAGACTTGTCTTCGGTGTCGGACAATTCGTACTCCACGTCCTCGTCAGAGTCCACCATGCCGTCGGAGTCTTCTCCGTCGTACTCACGAGCGGCCTGCTGGGCAGACTCCATCAATGCAGAAAGACCACCCTCTTCCTCAGGATCCTCATCCTCATCCATGGCTTCTTCAACTTCCTCACCTCTGGCCAAAGCGGCTTCACGTGCCTGTTGTCTCTTCAATTTGAGCTGCTCTCTTCTCTCCTTCTCCGCAAGCCTGTTTTGTTCTAGCTCGTTGATGATCTCCTCCTTGTATGGGAAACTGGCAGGGATACCTGGATCCTTGTTAGCTCTGGACTTCCAAGTAACGTCCTTTTTGGCCAACTTCTTGTTCTTTCGGCGCTGGGCAGCAGCCTTTTTCTTAATACCCTCTCTCATACGAGTGGTCGTCCTTTTGGACGTTGGCTTCTTGACTCTCATGGCTGATAGGGAAGTGATGAGGTTGGTTTTTTTTTCCACCATATCAGTGCGATGCCATCAGGTACTGCAGGCTCCGCTACAACTGTGTCTCCGGCTTGGTCCAAATCTATAATTTTTCATAAAGCAATTCTCTTTTTTTGTAGAGAAGCCTCTTGTCATATATCAGCCTGGGTGGCGGTGGCCGGGCGCGGACGTATGGCTGGTACGAGAAGTCTCTCATGTTCGCTTTGAGGTAGGATGGTTGTGACTTGCGCGTGGTAACGAGCGGTTCCTCCTCATCAGAGTCCAGATCGGATTCTTCGTCCTCACTTTCACTCTCTGAATCGTAGGGATCGAACTCACCGGCGACTCTGATGGTGCTTTGGTCGGCAGTCGCTTCATCGATTAATCCCTGAACCATGGCCTTTGGTTTCTCCACGAAAAGCTCCTTCATCTCAGCCTTCAACACGCTTTTCGCCGTCTTGGCGTTGCGAATGAAAGACGCCCACGCCGTGTCCATCCTTGACACCGACTGTTTCTGTACAGCGACCTCCTTAGTGGCTTCTGGCACAATCACAGGCGTCAGCCTTGTAATCTCCTGAGCCTTGAAACTCCCAACCGGCAAGGCAATGGCCAAAGTTCCAAGCAAAAATAGTCTATAAAAGTTCATCAAAGCAGTTTCTGATAAGAAGTGATGTTTGTGGTGGCTGGGAATGGCTGCAAAACAAAGTGCGCACTAACCTGGCCTGCCCTTCATGGATCCAAGACTGGACACACGGTGAATCGAGTCTCTGCTCTCATTGCGGTGACCATAAATTGGGCCCTTTTTGGGGTTCATGAATGGTTTGTTGAAAAACTCAACCTGATGTGGTGCCTCGTCCAAATCGCCCAAGTTGATCGTGGATCTGGTCCTCAAGGAGGAACCATCACTAGGCACTGGCGACGAAGAGCTAAAATGTCTGCCGCCTTCCAAGTCAATGTTAATGTCCTCTTGTTCCTGAAGCTTGATGTAGCTAAGCGCTGAGTTGAAGTAGCGCTGGAGTTCTGGTGGACTCTTATTTCTGGCAGCTGTGAGTACACGAGTCACTGGTCCAGGAACACGAGTAGGTATGAACTTCTTGGCCGCTTTCAGGTATCCAAGTTTCCTTCCCATGAAGCCGAATGCGACAAGTAGCAAGAAGAAGAATAAATAGAAGAGGGCGGACGAGTGGATGCCGTCGACGTCGCTGTCGAAGCCCGTCTTCAAAGACATGGCGCTTCCTGTAATGCCAACGGGTTCAGCGCCTTTCTTGTAGTCCACCTGAGACGACGCCACGAGAAGAGCCTTACCCAATGTCCACGAAAGCTCTTCTCCTTCAATGGAGTCGGCTGATTTGAAGGGCACATGGATTCCCTGAACCTCCTTCATCTCGCTAGTTTCTTTATCGTCCTGAGGATCAACCTCCAATCCTAAACGAGGAAGACCAAAACCTTCGTGCAAGACATTGATCACCCAGGATGCCTTGAAACAGGCGTCAAGCAAGAAAGGCTCCTTCAAGTTCAGGTACTCACCGTTCTTGGAGTTGGAGAGAATAGTGTCCCAGCTGCTCTCACAGTATTCCCTCACCTTGTCGTTGAAGCTGTGGAAGTTGTATTCACCGCCACTGTGGAAAATGTCGTTAGCCGTGTACCAGTATTCGGACACGCCCACAAACTTGTCCTTTTCAAAGTTCATCTTTGGCGCATGCATGCCGTTGAAAAGACAGGGCTCCTCCGTACACGGCATATGCTTCATAAGCAAAGGGTAGATTTCCTTGAGACACACCTCGTAGTTGCCCGTGCCTTTGATCGTGTACTTCTTGTTGTTGTATGTGTAATCTGGAATCTCGGCGCCACTGGGCAAACATGGATCGTTCACCTTATTCCCCGAATACTTCACATTCGACGACAAAAGAAGCGAGATCAAATTGTCCAAATGACGCTTCCTGGCCTGGTTGGCGCCAAACCCGAGCCACGTGCCCGTGAACACCCTCCAGTTCTGAAGATCGCCGTTCTGGTTGCGTAGAATCACCTTGAACAAGTCCTCGTCGTGCTTGGCGATCTCGTCCTGGGTAGGCACAAACGCCACTTGTGTAGAAGCGCCGCCCATGTCCATGAACCCCACCAGCTCGTGGTCCTGGGCCTGAAGATCGTAGTTGTCGAATTTGCCCATGAGGTAGTTCAAGGCCAACCAGCCGTAAATGCCCTCTGTGGCGCCGTCGATCACTTGCACATGCTCCGAACACGAGCCGATCTTGAAGTCCGTGTGCTTTTGAAGCGCCTTACACGTCTCAGAAAGAATCTTCTCCTGCTGTTGTTCAGGTAAAAGTCTCATACCTGCTGTCGCCAACACGTAAACAGGCGTGTCGTGCCACTTGTCCTTGGGAATGACGCCCTCGGCAAACTTCATGAGCTTCTTGTAGTGCTGCTTCCAGATCTTGCCCGGTTTTTCTCCAAAAGTCGACGCCCCAGGCGTGATCTTATGACTCCATCCTTGTTCTTGGGCGATCTTGGGTGGAGACTTCAAGGTTTCGTCCAGAGCCAGATCTTTCAAATGTCCGGGATCCTCCCACCTGTAGATCTGTGCCCGCAGTCCCAGCAGGCCCAGGTCCACGACGATTCCGTATTTGTAGTCGCCCATGAAGTGTTGATGTGGTTGTTAGCTGACTGTACAGGACTCTGAGTTGGGGTGTTATCGGGTGGCACTGGAAAAGAGATTTTGGCCTAGTTTTTTGAAAAACAGTGGAATGGGTGAGTTTCACATGGATAGTGACGGAAGGAGTTTTGAATATTTGGATTTGTCGTGT